GTACTTTGTAGCAAACACTGACATTGAGGGCATGAATTGAAATGGAATCTCAGCATGGAAACGGGTAAAAAAAGGCGCCCAGTCGGCCAAATTACTACTGTAAAGCATCAATTTGAAGCCTCCTCCGGTCATAAGAAGCCTCGATTAGCGTCTGTGCTAAATATCAGCCAGCCCACCACTTTGAATACCAAGATCCAGCAGTGGCCACCGAATGAGAAGCGCAAATCTGGAACACTGCATCACAGCAGTAGTAGCCGCAGCATCATCTCTCTGGTGCGTACATCACCTACGAGGCGGTATTTTACGATCGAAGCGGCAACCAGGTGAACAACATCTTCGGGACGGTGCGCAACTGTCCGCCAGGGGATGGCATTGACGCCAAGGGAAAGTGCATTGGCTTCTAAGATTCAGTTTTCTTTAAATTGGTGTTTAGGTGGAGAGTTTGCAATTAAAAACATATACTTTGTGAAGGTCGGTTTTTTTCTGTACACTGTTCAGCCTTGAAAAGCTTTGGCAATTTTAATTTTAGCGCAACTTCAGTTGTTTGGGCATTGAAACCGGATCTCTCGTACAAGAAATCCATAAAACTGCATGTACTCTAGGAGAAGCCCTCACCATTTGGTGCTGCCGACCAGAGACAGGAATCGTGTCCACATTTCTGCAGCTGATGCACAGCCATTAAGGCTAAAGCGCTCTACCTCTAGCTGTGCATCAACTGCAGAAAAGCGGACGCGATTCCTGTCTGCACTGGTCTGCAGACTGAACTGTGAGAGCGTCTCAATCACAACAATCACATGGTGCACCGTTGCCATCAACCAAAAAGTACCTCTATACCTTGACATTTTGTTTCAATCTAGTGATTTTCGGTATATTGCTACAAATCAGTAGAAAAAGGTAAGAAGCACTTCGAGCAAACAACATGTTGTCACATTTTCAATGCTAATCACTGCTGTTTTCCAGTGCAGGCCAAAACAAAACAAACAAAGATGTCCAACTCAGAGAAGAATTTCTCCAACTGGTCTGCCAAGGTAGATCAAATAATGAACAGCATCGACCTCAAAAAGACGAGGATCACTTCGCCGGACGAAATGACACCTATAACCAGCTACTCACTGGGAGTTAACCTCATTCCATATCACGAGTTCAGCAGTACCGTAAGGCCAGAAGTTCGACAGGAGATCCTCGAGTACATGGAAGCTGAGCTGGAAAAGTACGAGCAGTCAAGGAAGAAGAAGAGCTCAGAAGAGGCGGACCGGCTGCGAGCCGAGGGCAATACTCACTACCAAAGGAAGAACTTTGACGCGGCACTGCACTCCTACACAATGTCCATTCTCTATGCTCCAGTGCAGTCAGAGGGCGGAGACGAGGCGGATAAGAAGTCCTCCAGTCTGGCTCTGGGCTATGGCAATCGCTCTGCGACCTTCTTCGAGATTGGCCAGTGGGCGAGCGTACTGGCGGACATTGAGCACGCCCTTGAGGCCGGCCACCAGGGCGTGGGTAAGCTGCTGCTGCGAAAGGCTGATGCACTGATCAACCTGAGAAAGTTCGAAATGGCCAAAGTGGTGCTCAAGGACAGCCGCCTCAAGCAAGACCCCAGCCTCGAAGGAACTGTCATTGGACGTCTGGTCACCGTGGAGAGGAGTCTTAGAGCAGCTAAAGCGCAGCAGTCTCCACTGAATGAAATCAGCATTCCGCCTTCTGAATTTCCCCCTCTTTCTGAGATCATCTCCTCGCTTTCCACCTTCAGTGATCACCCTTACGAGCCCTCGGAACAAATACCCTCGCTAAGTCGCAAGTTGGAGGTGCGATCTAGCCCAGAGAAGGGGCGTCATTTGGTGGCCACGGAGCCCATTTCGCCGGGAGAGATTCTCGCCGTTGAGCTGCCCTACGCCAGTGTTCTGGTGAAGAAGGAGGAGCTGAGCTACTGCCATCACTGCTGCCGCCGCCTGAAGACGGACCAGTTTGCGGTGCTGCCGGAGGAGCACAATCTGGGCGACAAACTGGGCAATGCTCAGCGCATGGAAGGTCAGTTTCAGTGTTTACCCCCTTCTTTTGCAATCATCAGCAGTATTCTAGCTTTTCTGTCTCCCCTTCAACTTACCAGGCAAGTCACTGTACGTGAAGGCGGCAGTGCCCTGTACCGGCTGCACCGCCCTGCTCTACTGCTCGGACGGCTGTCGGCAGGCGGCCTGGACGTCGTACCACCAGTACGAGTGCTCCATCCTTCCAATGCTCTACAACCTCGGCCTGGGCCACCTTGCCCTGCGAATGCTCTTCACTCTGAACAGTGGCAGCGGCAACGGCNCATCAGCAGTATTCTAGCTTTTCTGTCTCCCCTTCAACTTACCAGGCAAGTCACTGTACGTGAAGGCGGCAGTGCCCTGTACCGGCTGCACCGCCCTGCTCTACTGCTCGGACGGCTGTCGGCAGGCGGCCTGGACGTCGTACCACCAGTACGAGTGCTCCATCCTTCCAATGCTCTACAACCTCGGTCTGGGCCACCTTGCCCTGCGAATGCTCTTCACTCTGAACAGTGGCGACAACGGCAACGGAAACGGCGGCTTCTCACAGGCGAAGGACGTCATCAGGCGGGCTGACCACGACCAGACGACCGATGGAGACAAGGAGAAGAGGCTGGCGCTGAACCAGACGAGCGAGCCGCCCTTCGCCGCCGTCTACCAGCTGGTGAACAACAACTCCGCGATGAGGGAGTCGATGCACCTGCAGGTCAGCTACGGCATCACCTCGGGGCTGCTCCTCGAGCTGGCCACTCGCGTCGGCTACCTCAGCCGGCTGAACCTGGAGACGGCCGATGATGTGCACCTGGTCGGCGGCCTCCTCCACCGGCACCTGATGCAGCTGTCGGCGAATGCGCACGCCATCAACGACTACATTCAGGCAATGCCGGAGGAAGGGGGCTCGCAGCTGAAGTACCGCGATGTCCCGGTTTCCAGTGGCCTCTACCCCTGGATCTCTCTGCTGAACCACTCCTGTGAGCCCAATGTGATTCCCACCTTTGAGTGCGGACGGCTCTTTCTGCTGCGCGCCCTGGCGCCCATCGCCGTCGGCGAGGAGGTGGTCAACTCCTACTGTGTGCACTTTGCCCGCATGGACGTCGAGAAGCGCCAGGAGCGGCTGCTGGACCGCTACAACTTTGTGTGCAAGTGCCACCGCTGTGAGCTGGAGCTGAAGGATGGCCTCAATGGCCGCTACATTCCCCTGAAGTGTAAGAGCTGCCCGTAAGTGTTTGCTGACCACAGTTTATCTTTTTTGACTGCAGTTGCTAACATACTATTACCACACACACNGTGCAAGTGCCACCGCTGTGAGCTGGAGCTGAAGGATGGCCTCAATGGCCGCTACATTCCCCTGAAGTGTAAGAGCTGCCCGTAAGTGTTTGCTGACCACAGATGATCTTTTAACTGCAGTTGCTAACATACTATATCACACACACGTCTTCACCAGCAATGGACTGATGACCCGAAAGGACGAGGACAACTTCCACTGCAACGCCTGCAGCAAAACCGTTCCACAGGAGGAGATTAAGCGGCAGTACGACGCCTTTACGGAAGTCCTGGAGAAGGCGTGGAAGAGCCTGAAATTGGATAAGCCGCTTAAGCCGCAAGATGGCCGCTTTGCCCTCACCGAGAAGGCAGCTGACCAGGCTCAGGCGATGCTGGCCTCTAGGCTGGAGGACGGAACGGTGGTCTTTGGCTCCAGTCGGGCGCAGCTGGAGCTGGGTCGCATTGCCGACCTGCTGGCCAACATGTACCTGCTCTACGGCCGGCCCGCTGACGCTACTCGGCTGATCAAACGCTCGAGGGCCATCGTGGAAGCCATCTACGGACCAATGGCCATTTTGCTTGTTCATGAGCTGAGCAAGGAAGTTGATATTCTAGCTCGCCTTCTCCAGGCCGATGTGATCGTTCCGCTGCTAAGAGGAGGCCGTGAGGCCACTGAACGGGAGGTGGCCCTCATCGACGACTGGAAGCAGCAGTACAAGCGCATGATGACGCTGATGGGCCACTACTCGCTGAGCGGGGCCCGACTGCCGCTGGGCGATCCGGACAGCTGCTACTTCACCTCGCAGATTCTACAGAGGCGAAAGTGGATGAAGGAGTTTGACGGAGTGCTGCGATCAATTGTCGAAAAGCGGCAGCAGAGGAATGCAGCAGGCAGGTGCACCAGCAAACTTCAGCAGATGCTGCTCGAGGATGACTGAGAGAGAGAGCAGAAAGCTCAACTCAACTCAACCCAACTCAACCCAACCCAACCCAACTGCGCGCATATCTTTTGAGGTCGAGAAAGGACCAAAGTTTTTAATTTGTTATTTTATTAGTAAAGTATGAAATAACTCCAAAGCCAACAAAAGAAAAGCCTAGTCTAGAAGAAGGGCTTCGCCTCTACCTTCTCCACGAACTTCCCCTCCGAGGTAAACTGCTCCACCTCTCTCCGCTTGGTGATGTACTCGACGCCGCCGGCCTTTGGGTTGCCCACCGCCAGCACCGCCTCCACCTGGTACTCCTCGTTGCCCGTCAGGCCGATCACCTCGCGGACCTTGGCGTCGTCGAAGCCGCCCATGGCGTGGACGGCCAGCCCGCGGGCGGTGCCCTCCAGGGAAAGGGCCATAAAGGCGGCGCCCGCCTCGAAGCTGTGCGAGTGAAGCACCTCCGTCCGGTCATTGTACACGTAGGACTTCTTGGAGAGGACCACTACGAGGGCGGCGGCGTCCTTGGCCCAGGCGATGTTCCCCTCCCACAGGGTGCCCAGGTAGCCCTCCCAGGAGGGCGAGCCGCGTTTGGAGTAGGTGAAGCGCCAGTTTTGGACATTGCTGAGGG